CTCTGCTGTCGGCCTCAAGCCACCCAAATGGGAGAGTGAGGAATGTCACGAGAGGCTGGGCAGAGACAGCTAGCAACTTTTATTGGGAGGACCCTCATTGTTTAGAAAATTCTATCCAATAAAGGTCAAGATAGGCAGGGTTACAAGGACAGGTAGGGTAATTTGACCCGTGGAGCTGAAGGAAGTCACACCTATGCATGAGGACACATTCTACTACTTCCAGGATCAGGGCAGTGTTCTGGGGCCACTTTGAATGTGGCCAGATCACTACAGAAGTGACCAACAGAGCCTCTACCCATCACGGGAAGGAAAATGCTGGTCTCAGCACAACAGCCCCCATGTGACAGGTTTCTGAGAAGCCTTGGTCTGACTTTCTAACTTTTCAATCTCAAGAATTATTGTAGCATGTGTTGGGATTGCATCATCCTGAGAGAAGGAGGAACTAACTAGAAGTGTCCATGGAGCAGGGTGTTCTTCAGTGCTTTATCCCCTTGAGTCATGCACCCCCTGTTATAAAAGCTGGAATCAGAGGCTTTCTGGGCTTCCTTCTCGATGGTGCAATTGGGGCACCCAGACAGGACTCTATCCACCCAGGCTAGCTTTCCTGGGCCTTGGGGACTGTTTCACAATGACTCTTAGGCTTCTATTGTTCCTTGCTGCCTATCTGCAAGCAGTATGTCTACTTCAGGTAACCCGTGTGTGGCAGTGTCTGAGTTTAACAGTGCACAGTGAACGTGCTTTCCAGCTCTGTATGAAGTGTCACAAAATTATTTGAAACACAACTGATAATTTCAAGAGTTAAAAATACTACAACATCCACAAAAATGATGAAACAAAGATGTCTAGTCAATAAGCCAACAGAGGAGGAAGGAAATGAAATAATATTCAATTGAAAGAGGGATCAAAAAAAAATGGAAAAAGAGAACTAAAGGTACATGCACTGAATAGGAAACAGGAAAACAGTATATTTAAATTAGACCATATCATTGAATTACATAAGAAGTAATGGCTTAAATATCCTAATTAAAAGACAGAAATGTTCTGATGAGATTAAAAGTAAAGTCCAAGTTTATGCTAACCATAACAAGCATATGTTAAATAATGGTCACATATGGAGATTAAAAGTCAAAAGAGGGGCCAGGCATGATGGTCCATGCCTGTAATCTCAGCATTGCGGGAGGCTGAACCAGGAGGATTGCAAGTTTGAGGCCCACCTCAGCAATGTAGCGATGCCTGAAGTAACTTAGTGAGACCCTGTCTCAAAATAAAAAAATAAAAAGGACTGAGGATATGACTCAGTGGGTTCAATCCCTGGTACAAAAAAAAAAAAAAGTAAAAAAGATGGAAAAAGATAAGCTATTCCTTTGTTAGAATAGAATTGTCGTATGATCAAGCAATCCTACTTCTAAGTGTACATATATATAAAAAGAATTAAAAATAGGGTATCTAAGAGATACTTGCACATCCATGTTTGTTGCAGCATTATTCACAGTAGGCAAAAGGTAGAAGCAACTGTACATTGATGTATGAATGGATAAACATAAACATGTATATACATACAAGGGAATATTATTTAGCCTTAAAAATAAGAAAATTTTTACACATGTTACAACATGGATAAATCTCCAGGACAGAATAGTAAGTGAAATAAGCCAGTCACAAAAAAGACAAATACTGTGTTTCCAATTTTTAAAAGCACCAGGAGCAGTCAGATTCCTAGAGATGGAAAGTGGAATGGTGCCTGTCAGGGTCTCCAGAATGGGAGAAAAATAACTTGTATTTACTAGGTAGATAATTTCAGTTTTAAAAGATGAAAATGGATCTGAAAACTGGTTGCATGACAATATTGATGTATTTAACACTAGCCAGAAACACATGGCTGCTCCTAGTCTATAGAACCATTTCTAATTCTGGAAACATGTCCCCAGGCTTTAAAAGGATGCACTGAGATGAGTTATGTATAGGAGACCAACCTCAAACGTGACTGAGTTAACTCCCCTGCTGAGCAATGTGGCGTCAGGCACCCATGCTGCTAGGCTGCCCTTCTCTTTAGGAGTCAAGTAACTGTGTCTTTGTGCCCCGGTGTGTCTTGCTACAGCCCCATGGGTGGAGCTATGCTCACCTGTTCCTTTGTATTATAACCCCTTGCCCTTTTTAGGAAAGAATGTTCCATGGAAGTCCCTTGTGTGTGTCCCCTTCTCTTACTGTGCCCATGGGTGTAGCCTACCTAGATGTCAGTCAACCTTCCAACAGTGGACATCATGAAGATAAACTCAGCCCCCTGAAACCTGACTCCTTGCCTCATTTGAATAGCTTCTCCTCAATAAAAGGAGTCAGCGCATGCTCTGCTCTCTCTTCCTGCAGATCCTTAAGGTCAGAGGAGCCTTCACAGCAACCCCAAAGAAAAAGGCATTTGTGTCTCTTGAGTGGTTATTTCACACAAACCAATTAGCACAGTTTCCCTGGAGTGACCCCTGAGCCTTTTAGTAGCAAACAGAAACCCAGCAATTATGCTTTCTCCAAATCTGTATGTTGAAGCCCTAGTCTCAGTACTTCAGACTATTGTCTGTATTGTAGGTAGGGCCTTTAAAGAGGTAATTCAGTTATTTTGTAGAGTGGACTGTAATCCAATAAGACTTGTGTCATTATAAGATGTTAGCAAACACATAAACAGAGGGATGACTATGGGGACACAGCGAGCTGGTAGTCACCTGCAAGCCAGGAGATGGACCTTAGAAGAAACCAAACCTGCTGACACTTTGATCTTGGACTAGTAGTCACCATAATGGTAAGAAATTTAAGTTCTCTTATTTAAGCCCAATTATTCTATGGTGTTTTCTGATGGGAACCCTAGCAAATGAACAGTGCACCTGGTCCTGAATGATTTCTGGACACCACTCCAGTTGCTACAAAGCCCTCAGGGTGAACTGGAGCAGAACATCACCACTCACACAGCAGGGAAATAAGACTCATCAGAAACAGTGACTCACAGCTTGCCCAGCCTTTCAGTTGGACAGTCCCGTGAGATGGGACTTCCTGCTACTAAGCTTGGGGAATTTCTTATTAACTTTTGATAATAAACACTTGATTAGCCTTTACAAATCCCAACAGACCTGCCAGCAGTCGTCACAAAGAGCCATTACAGGCCTCACTGACATTTAAGGATACCCTGAAGGTTCCCCATCACCCCACAGTGACCTCATGCAAGACTTTCCCTTTATGACAATATGTCCACCAAGGCCAACTAACCTCCCTTTATCCTGCTAGTGCACTTTACACTAACAACCTGACTTGCTAAATCAAATCAAATTATCAGCTGCCTGTAGCCTTAACATTCTACAGGCAGCTGAAAGCATCCTCCCCAAACGCACATGAGAGAGAGCCTTCAGTGGTTCCCAGTGAGAACACATGTGCCCCATGACACAATCCAAGACCCTCCCTAACACCTGCAGTGACCTCTTATTCCATCCACACTGCCATGTGTAAGATCTCCTTGGCATGGAAGAGGAGATTTTACAAATCTGCAATTACTTAGGGACTGGTTCCTGTGATCCTCTCCCTGACCACCCAGGATACCCTCAGTGATCCACTCTGACAACCCCAGCCAGTCCTATCTGGTCTGCATGTTGCTTAAAAAGTCACTGACAACCCTTAGTGAGCCACTTTAACAGCCCACCTGCCCTGATGTAGCCAGTGTCTGCCAATGTGGCTTTGTCAGTCCTGACATGGCTCCTCTGTCTCAACCAGACCCCTTCACCCATGACACATTCACCATTCTTCCATAATAACCCCAAATATTCTAGCATATCCCAAAACATCCTTCCTTGCCCTCCTCAGTGTGATGGAATCATCTCCTCACCCTCTTGTCAGAATGCCTGTCTGCTCTGCCCAAGCGTTATTTCTTCCCTCAAACTGTGCTTGTCCCAGTATACTCCAGTATACTCTGAGCAACAGAGCCAATTATCTCTGTACCCGCTTTACCCATGACACCCTGTCTCTCCCTCACCCCTGCACCATTCTTCCTGTCTAGTGATGGTGCACAGCAGGGGACAAAACTCATCTCCCAGTGGAGCTTCTGCCCTCTTAACTCCTGGACCAGATCTCCACCCAGCATCCATATTAGCTGGATACTGCTTGAGGCATTTGGCTTTTTGCTGCCAAGCCTTGGCTTTGTGG